TTCTAAACAATTTGTACCTAAATTTTGCTAAGGGATTTGAATCACGATTTTCGAAAGACTGATAAACCCCAGTAGCTGTTTCTTTTTCAAGAATTTGTATAGTATTTTTTTCGAGGGAAAACAGACGAATCAGTGGAACAGGGGAAGAGTTTAATATGTACAGGAGCGATGAAGGGTTAGCAGTCGGAGAGGGTTTAATATGTACGACATCCTCGGGGCGTTATAATCGTTGGGGTATCGATCACCGACCGACTATGACGCAGCGTCTGCTTCGAAGGACTTCGAATTCATCCAATCAGAGAACATAGGATCACCGGAATGATCACCACCTCGCCCCGGCTTTCCTAATCACCCCTTCGTTCTTGGAAATTCCTGACCTCTGAAATCGATCGAATCCTTCATCACTAAATCATCTGTCGCCCAAATTGCTTTATGCCAACTGACAGAAAAATCATATAAGTTTATTATTGGCATCTTAATTTATTATACGAGTGATGGATTAATCTTATCAATTAGTTTACTCAGAGTCTTACTATTCTGACTGAAAAAGTTTTCTCTCTCTTTGTACAATCGTTAAAAGTTAATGGGTCTATTATTCTGTAGAACGAAGTACATAAAATGTACAATCTGATACACAAACCTGAATTCAAGAACAATTTAGAATAATCTTGAATCAGGATAAGGCTAATTACATTATTCATGAATTAATCAGGAATTTTATAAAATACTCTCAGATATACGAAAACTTGCATAACACCTGAAACACCGCGGTAGAATATTCTGAAATATTCGCGAGGCATTCAAGAACATTCGTGGTTATATGCATGCACCCTCATCCGGAGTCATACTTCTTGAAACCTTACCTAGTTTCTTATATAATTTATCAAGAGAAATCTCCACGAGAGATCTACATTTCGGCGTGGTTTAAAAACGACGGCGAGAGAGAAAAGGAGACTGAGCGCTTGAACCTTCGAGTCAACTCTGATATGGAACATAATCAACACTACACTTATTTATCAACGCCTTCCTCGCGAAACTTACCCCGTCTCGTTCTGCAGGAAACTTTTATCCTTATCGCAGCTCCTAGTCGCTCTTAACGCGCATCTCTCGTGACTATCGCTCGTTTAGATAACCCGATAGCTTTTTTCCTGTCCCAGTCATGTACAGGCAATCTTTCGCGTTCAATTAGTTCACTCTTTTGCATTTTCCACTGTTTTCTTTTTTTTTTATTATTATTTTCTAATGAAGAAACGTGATGGTGGTAGACGAATTGGGAATGCGGGTCGTATGACGAGTTCAATTAACGAGGGTCAACAATTCATAAATGATGAGGTTCTGTCTCGTCCTATTTTCGTTTGAAACTTATGAATAATCTATAATTATTGATCTGAGTTGTAATTAAAATTGAATAACCTTTTTATATCGTTTGCTTTTCAGAAATACGTCAGCGAGGGCTCGACAGTTCGAGACTGCGTGCCGACCTGCTCGGAGAAGGGTGAGTTCATGCGCCAAATATATTCGTTTCATATCATAATACTGCGTTCATTAAAGAGTACGTCACTCGTCGAACGAGGGATTCGTTTGGACGTCGAATTCTCTGACGAAACGGAATATCGTTTCATTTTAAATTGTCGAGTGCGGACTTAAAATGGCTTTCAATTGTCACACTTAACGGAGATAAACGTATCAACTCGTTAATGCGGAATGTAAACGGAAAGGAACGGGGCGAGAGAGAACAAGCGTTTAAAACGATGAATCTCTCGTTAAAAGTTGTCCTTTGAAACGGTTTCGCGTCCAATAAAAATAACCTTCCCCACGGGTGTTCGCGAACCATCTCGTTCTCCATTATTGTTATCATTATTACGTGAGGACGTGTCCCGATAACGCGAGCCAGTTGTTTCCCCGCAATAGTTTTTCTTTAGAGAACGCTTTCTGTATCCCTTCGACGCGATGCGATGCGTCGGGAAATATCGGGAAAGCGTAGAACGTTATCGGGGAAAATTGAACTAATTTCGTTGGAAAATACCGGTTATATTTTCGTTTCACCTTCCCACGTGATTACGTTTTTTATTTTATATCAGTTATTAAAAATTCTCATCTGTTATATTAATTTCAGAAGTTTTTCTTAAAGAAGTCTTTACGAGTACATTTCTTGAGAGGTTCATAAAAAATTGTACAATGTAATAAATAATGTATTTTGTCAATCCGTCGGTTTAATATATTAAAAATAAATTTATATTTCGCTTCAGGTTAAATATCCATGTTGTAATTGGTTAATATTTATTTGAATTTGTTTCATTGCAAGGATACAATTCTGAGAATACTTAAACGGATTGGCGAAGGATTTTGTTCGTCGGTGTTCATTCGTGGCCGCTTTGAAATTCGAACAGAGCGCGTATGCGAACTTGGTCGAGGTTCGCCACAGCAACCGCACCGAAACTGCAGATTTTTCGACCAACCGTCCGCATATCCGCGAGAATTCGGTTAATTCCAACGTTACAGATCGTCCTACGCTTTCCGTTTGATCGCGATTTCACGCAGATTCATCTTGCTTTATTCCTATTTCTCATAAACTATTTCGTAAACTCGTTTTTCGTAAATCAATGTGTTGAGTTAATGTCGAGTGAATCGAGGTAATCAGAGAATAAATAAGTGTAGATAAATAATCATTATAAAAATTGGAACAGTATTGCATTTTACTACATGCACTTGCATTATATTACATTTTAATAGAATAAAAGGAATTGAAAAAATGTAGCAGCTTGCAATTTTTATTATCAGAATTAATTTGAAAATTATATTTTTAACAGGATCACATTTTTGTTCGAGAATTTTTGTGCAATATAAATCTGTATGAATCAGTAGATATCTGTGTATAAGGTGTCTGGTCATAGATTTTCCTTGTTCGATTTAAAATGTTCCGCCTGTACATTCATTGACCAATTCCATTGTTTCTTTGCAACCTCTTCGGAGAGGAACAGTCTTTTCCGATACATTCCGTTCCCTCTGGGAAATTCTCTTACTCCAACCTGTCCCACTATTTATACTCTTTACCTTTCTAGTATTCACTTCTTGTCGCTTGTTTATTTTTCTATTTTATCCGAAATTTTCTCCGGAATATTCCCCCCTCCTTCCATTCCGCAATTTCGTGGAATCACCACCGGGCCTGACCGAGCGTCGACCCATATCACTGAATTTCCACTCACGTTCTCCAACCGGGAGAAAAGTATCACGCACGCAGAGTGCATTCGATTAATTTTTCCCTCGTTCCCGCTACGGCCACGTCCTATCTTCTACAAACGGAAATTTTATGAAGCGTCGTGGAAGTTCGAAATTCGCAAAATTTCTGAACTTCTTCCGCCGAGCCGAAACTCTCGTCCACTCTTTCCTTGGTACTCGGCAAAACCCTGAGGAATGCCAGAGGGAAACTTCTTCGAGGTTTCAGCAACCTCAAACCTAACCGAGTTTTAAGAAAAATATTCACCACCTTTCATTTGCTAAAAAATAAAACGAAGAACGTAGTCTAAATTAATGTTTGCCACGGAACTTCAGCTAAAATGAATGTAGTCCTTGATTAAGTAAAGAGAATGGAGCGTATTTAAAACTGAAAATAGAGTATGCAAAAAATAATGCATTAGCTTGTTTCATAAATTCATTAAAATAATCTAAGTGCCTTTCGTTTTTCGATACAGTACGACAAGGTAATTCAGATTCTTTATGGTTGTTTATTTCTCTCTAATATTAAATTACTTCTCGAGTCTCATTTTGATAAAATATTCTCATTAATTATAATTTAATGTACAAAGTAAGAATAAAGAGGAAACACGAAATTATGTAACAGGGATGAAAGTTACTGTTTCACTATTTTCGGATGTAATTATTATTGTAAGCCACCGAAACTATTTCTCGACGTGAGGACAGGTAGCGTCGCAATAACGGCGACGAGAGATCGATTTCTGGCTCGTTAAAAATGAAAAATCCGGGCTCGTTTATATACCGTCGAAACGACTGCGGGAAACTCGATGCAACGGGAGAAAGGCGGCGGCTTAAGGAACGCGGAAAATGAACTTCGACCGTGGAGCGAAACGACCGAAACGTATTTTCGACGGTCGAGAAGAATTCCGAGCTGTCAGTAAACCAGCGCGCAGTGTATTTTCTTAATCCAATTTAAGGGCTGCGTTATTTTTCCTGGATGTTCCGTACCAAATTATTGCGTTCCCTCCGTTACGAGAATTTGGTTTCAGTTCGGTTCGCGAAAGAATTTTTACTCAGACCGTCGGCGAGAATGTGAAATAATTTTCAGTTCGTCGAGTTTTCTAATTGAGATTCTCGTGAAATTAATTCGAATTCTCCAAGTAATTTATATTAATTAGTACAAATTCTATCGAATGCGCTAATCGCGCGGTGTCGCACAGTGACAAAAAAATGTAACTGGAGAAAGTAATTTGTCACTAGTCTCTGGAAAATTTCTTCTGCAAGCTTGAATCGGTCGGGCACTGCGATATTTTTTAACCCTTCGCTCGTTCGACATTTCCAAACCGTTTTAATTTCTTTTCCGTAGAAGCCTGGGCGCGATGCTCAACAATTTAATGGGGAAATTCTGAGAAGTGAAGGACACTCGGCCGTCGATGACCGATCCAATAATTTTTCAAGACGGCTCTCTTTAACTGTTTCGCTCTCGATCATCTCCCAACGACGAAACAAGCTTCGGATCATGAAATTACTCGATAATCGATATCTTAAGCATTGGAAATCGGAATAGCCTTTATATACGAAGTTCTGAAATTAGAAGCTCGTTTCTCACAAATGAGACAAATAACTGCGACCAGCGAAGAGTATCGGATCGGGAACCATTTCGTTGTCATCGAGTCTGGTTATTTACTAGCATGAAAATACGGATGAAGAAACATAATTCCTCGTAACTAGACTGCCAATATTGCCGTATTCTCTTTACGTGGATACATTTTTCGTTTCATGGTTCGCAAAGAAGTTTTTACGCGATTTTTATTACGGCGAATGTCGAACAATTTTTATTCCTGTTGGCTTGTTCTCGAAACGGCTACTGGAGCAGTTCACTAAAGTTCGGAACAAAAAATATTCGACGGACGGACAGGAACAGATGCAATAAACCGTCACGATTTTCAAATTCTCAATACGTTCCTCTTTCTCCTCCTCGTCCGTTTCTCTATCCCTTTTGCTTCTTTCCATCCGTAATGAAATTGATGTTCGCCGACCTTTTCTCTTCGAATTCGATTAAAACGAGGAGGAGGGATCTCTTTGTCGATGAACCGTTCTTCTTAACGAGGTCTTTTACTCCTCCCTTTTATTTCAATAACTCCTTCATCTGGCCTACTTTTAATAAGTTTCTCTTGAATGGAATAACAGTCGTGCTTTTTCTATTAGAAGAAACTGACTTATCTCCCGGAGATGCGTGCCCTTTCTCATTCATGAATCCACTCCTTATTTACAAACAGGCTTTCCTTATACCGCAAACAATCTTAATTCTTTGAGTTCCTCAATTGAATTATTGGAAAACATTATTCGTTTCAATCTGAAAACGCATCAGTTTTATATATTTTATATTCGTGTCAAGTTTCAATTAAGTCCAATGTTGCTTTTAATAATAGAATTACGAGTGAGACATTTTTTATGATCGTTTTTCATCTGCCACGAAGGCGATATTGAAATCGCACGAGATAAGGAATGCATTGAACCTTTAAAGGGCGATTTGGAAATTGTTTCAGAGGCCTGGAGCACGAGGACGTACTGTTGCCAGCAGGACGGCTGCAACTCGGCCCCGTCGTTCGCGTCAAGCAGCAGCCTCGCGATGATCGCGATCGCATTGGCGGCCGTCGTGATCGTTCGTGGCTAATACGTCGCTTCCGGTGACCGGAGAACCGCGAACAAGCAAGCGAAGGAATCCCTCTACGCGCTCGAACCATTGTCCCGGGCTCCTTGCTGACTGGACGCTGACCAGTCGATAGTTGTCGTCGGTGAATCGGTTAAAAAAAATCAATCGATCCCCCTCCATCATACGAGCGATTCTCACGTCGCACATTCTTCCGATCCCTTCTCCCTTTTTCAATCTCACTTGCCAGTTTCAGATCGAGGGTCAGTTGGAAACGTTATTTGCAATAAAAATTGTATTTCATTTATTAATTCACGTAATTTTTGTTTGGTTTCGCTGAAAATTTTGGAAGAATCCTGTTCGTTGCTTAATGATCCATGAATTAATTTCGAAGATCCGATGCTTTTATCTGCCATAAGCTTGACACTCTGCATTATGAATTGAACGTGTCCTCGAACGAGATTCGACAAAGAATTCCATGACATCAATCATATTCGCGAAGATGCGATAACGCCATCACGAGTTTTAATATCCCCGTCACTTGGAAAATTAATTTTTAACGGGAATCTTTTGCCCATTTTTCTCTCATCGAGAACGATTTCGTACGGCGTGTGAAGTTTTTTGTCGGTCAGCTTTCCTTCGGTGGCTGACTCTCGCCTCTTGAAACGGCGAGACCCTCGAATTCGATTTAGACGAGAACTTGCCATCCGATCGTTCGTTCGCGCCGCGTCGCGTCGTTTCTTTTTCTTCATTTCACGCCGTCGCGTCACGTCGCGAGTGTTCGACGTAACAAGGACCAGAAACAGCGAATTCTCGATGACACGTTCTCCGATCACGCGTCAAACGAGACGAATAGAATTCTTCCTGGGTTCTCTCGTTCTTCTGTATTTTTTTTTTGTATCTGAACCTTTTCGTTTACGTGCAATCTCAGTCTTAATAGAAGAGGAGCCTCGGTTGCCTATTACAAAATACACAATCAATTCTTTTGTTTGTTCCCTCGTTTAATCATTTTTCTAAGGTAGAGAACAGATATTTCCGTTTCTGTAGTTCCTCAGTTATTCAGTTGTCAGGAATTTATATTATATCCGCAAATAATGAGTTTTATTCGTAACTAAAGGCAAGTCTGAATTTCCTTCTGACTAGTTCATTTATTAGAAATTAATTGAACGGGCTTTCACAAGTCCTCGTTTTATTTCACGATTGTTACCTCTTTCACATAGAATTTATTAGCCACCATGAATAATTCTCTCTCGAACTTAACAAGTTTTTTATTGTTCTTCATTGAAAGATTCACTATAGTTGAGGGAAGATACTGTTTTTCCTGTATTTAATGAACACATTCAGTTTCTGTCCTTCCGGTTATCGATGGAAATATATTATAATTACGTTCCTTCATTCAGTAGAAATTCTTTTCCTGAGACTCTTTTCTGTTTTGTTCTCCAATAATCGAATCCATTATCTTTTTTGAAAATTCTCTTCTCGACGAATTCCATTTAACGATTCTCCATCAAGTTTCTCTTCCTCCTCCCCCGGACGTATCTTCAGTCCAACAAAAGTTAACGAAAGCTAACCGCGACAATTGTCGAACAGTAAACTGAACAAAAGGAACGTCGGACCACAAATGTCTCACCCTTCGTTAACAAAAATCGACCGCAGAATGAAATCGACAAAGCGCGAAAAAGCGGATTCCCGACGCCTGGGTCGTTCGTGGTCGACCCGAAATCTTTTTTAGATCGTAAGAATTCGTTCATGGAAGAGACGTTACAAAAATAGACGAATAAAGAGAACAGAGAAGACGAGGGAACAGGGTTGGGGGTTGAAAAACGGTAAAAGAATACGAAAAAAGAAAAGAATGGAAACCGCGTGGATATAAATATATATAAATTATGTAACCTACATACAGACAACAGTTAAAATGAGGAACAGCGAGGATAATAATGTTAAACGTTATTATTATTATTATTATTAATTACTATGATTATTATTGATTATCGATCATTAAATTATTATTATCAATTATTATTACTACATTGCTACTAATTAACTACTATTACCATTAACTAATTACCATTTACTAAAACGAGAGGAAAATTAAATGACGACACTAAAATGGATGCATCACACCGATTATACATAAACTTAACTATACATATATAAATATATAAATAAATAAATGAATATATTATATATATAAATATATATATACATATAAATATATACATAGTAGCGATAAACGAGCGATAGACGGCGAAATCGAGTGGAGAGTTTGTCGATTATTATTACTACCGTACTTGTAACCGCTTTGAAGTAGCCTTAATAATTGTAATTAACGAACGCACGTGTGAGATATTAAACAAAAAACAAAAAAGAAAACAGAACAGCAGTAAAAGAGAAACGCGTATGTCTTATCGGTTGGCTTGAGGTGATTGCGCACTGCCCCGTTTCCCATCGCGTTCGATTTTACCCCTTCGGTCTTTTCGTTTTATAATAAAAATTTCGAACATCGTATTGTAACTCTAATTTTCTTTCTTTGTAAAACAATGACGTTCTCGCATGATTTCCATTTCTCGATTAGCTCGCCAGAGTCAATTAATCATCTGTCAATTATTCGTAACTCCCATGTCAATCTCCTGAACTTATTTTTAATATCGATAACGTTGTACAAAAATCATTTTGTCTAACCATTGTATGAGTTGGAGATGTTGAATTGCATCGTAGAAAGATTGGAACGAGCGCACCCGTTCTCTTCTCAGGCTGACCAGCGTCTGAAAATAAATTCCTAAAACAAAGTAGAAACGATTCTCATCCTAGCCGGTAAGCTAAGCGAATCACACGAAAGTAGGAGAAGCAAAAGATCCTTATTTGTTTCACCGAACGCGAGATCAGAAAAACAGAAGACGAGAAAAAAAAAAATCGTAAAAAAAGCACAGGACGGTAGCGCGTGACATTACTACGTTAGCGATTATTAATTAATGTATCCGTTCTCTTTCTGAGATTAGGCGATGAGACGATGTATCTAAAGAGAGTAGCGTGTACTTACTTTAAAGACACTTAAACCTGTTTCCCGTCTCGGACGTCGATTATTATTAATTAACGTCGTTGTTATTGTTGGACGAATGTTTCGAGGTAGACGTTCGTCTTCTTAAACCACGATCGATGTTGACTATCGCACAGGCTCTCGATGCAGCGTTGTCCAACCGGAGTTTTCTATCGAATCTCAATAATAATTCTAGACTCAATCGTAGTTAGAACAGATCGCGGTGGAAGGGATTTGAAAAATGTTTCCACAATTCCCGTCGGTAAGAAACATTCTTCAAATTCTTTTCTCTTCACAAATTCATGGAATGAAATCAATAATCGATGGATGTAATGCGAGTCTGAAATGAGATTCTTTTTACATTTGCTACTTTTCTTATCAGACTTCCAACGCGAAAATTTGTTGCACGATAGTACTGCATTGTGGAGTAACACTTTTATTGCGTAATTGTTCCTATATACAAAACGAATGTTTCGCTGTTTAATAAAAAGAAAAAGCCTCATGAATCGAAGTAAACAACGACACGAACTTCACCGTTGAATAGCAATAAGTCACTTCGGTCTCATCAAGCTTAGAAATTGATTGAACGATCCTGCGACGTCTCATCGAGAAGCCAACGGAAATTGTCATCCAACAATCTCCATTGAAAGAAAATTCTCAAGGAATCCACGCTACGGGCTACAATTGTCGCGGATCGCCAGGTTCAAGCTTCGCTTATACACTTTATCCATGTATTTTTATAACGCAAAAGTGGCAAATGTGGCAACCGTATCCACGTGGATCCGCGATCACTGTGGCGGCTCTAACAATAATTCTACGAGACGAAAACAACCAAACGATTTGAAAGAACAGAATTCCACCTCGAATCATTCCGCGACTATATTAATAAAACGGTTGGAAGTCAGTTTATCATTCGAATTCCGACGCACACGAACAAAAGCAAGAAAAACAATGAACAGAAAAATCTTTTGGACGATACCTTAAACGAGTTAAAAAAAAAAAAAGATCGATTAACCATACCATAATTTCTAGGCGAACTTCCTTAGCGTGTAAGAATTTTACTATTATCCAACGATAATCGAGAGACGCTCGATAACAAATCCGACATCGTTCCAAGCTCCTGATTAAAACGGGCAGAGTGATCGTTAAACGGAAAGGGATCCAGGGGACTCGCGTCGATCAGGACAAGAAGATCGACGAGCGAACGCGAGTCTTCCTCGCGAGGTGGAACATTGAGAAATGGAAAGCGTTTTTAGGGAGTGTTTAGGCGTCTCAACGTAAAGCGTAAAAACATTTTACATTCGCTTCGAGCACTATTTCGATAGGATACATTATTAAAGAGGTTCGTGAGAGAAAAGATATAAAAAAAAAAACACGTCTAAAGGAGGCAACTGTCTTTTATTTTTCTACCTAAACAGAATTCATGGCTGTGTGTGAGAAGCGTGAAAGTGAAAACTCGACGTGAACTGACCGTTCCATTTTCGCAAGAATTTTCCCGTTTAATTTAAACATTTCTTAGTTCACTTGGTGACTTGAAAAAAAGGTGTTAAGAAATTAATTAAATTACACTTCAGTTAAAAGGAAATTGTAAGAATCTCAGAGTCACTTAGTTATTTTATTTGCGATCATTCTTTATTTTTAGCCAGTTAGCTGGCATAATTCGCATTCGGTGAACGTGTTGATGCTTGGGAATGTTTGAAATTGTCTGAGCAAAGAGAGAGGATGAATGAAACGGGTGGTAAAAAATCGGATGAAACGTTCGAATGAACTTCGCGTTTCAAAGATAAAAAAAGATGGAGGGCCGAGAGGGGAAGAGGTGTAGAGGGACGGGACGCAGGTACGCGTCCCGGTGAAACGACGCTGGGAGCTTCGACACCGTCGCGTCGAGGCGTCGTCGAGTAGGCCCTTTCACGGTTCTTTTTCAGCCGTTCGAGTTCCTCCGCGATTGTGTGCCTCCCGCTTTCAAGTTCCCTTGACTCCTCGTCGCGAACAGTGAAACTGTTTTTATCCGTTTGTACCTCATCAATCGTTTTCTTTACCAGAGATTAAGAGGAAGATATTACGCGAGATAAAAAAGTAATAGGATCGGAGAGAAGCAAATTTTGAATCGATTAAAGAGA